TGTAAAACTATTTCTTGGACATTTCCTTTAGGCAGGTTCCATTTTGTCTCTATAGAGTTGTATGTGTGTGTGTGTGTGTGTGTGTGTGTGTGTGTGTGTTAGTGTATGTGTGTTAGTGTGTTTGTGTTAGTGTGTATGTATGTGTGTGTTAGTGTGTGTGTGTTAGTGTGTGTGTTAGTGTGTGTGTATGTGTGTGTTTGTGTGTGTTAGTGTGTGTATGAATATGTGTGTGTTAGTGTGCGTGTATGTGTGTGTTAGTGTGTGTGTATGTATGTGTGTTAGTGTGTTATGTTTGTGTGTGTTAGTGTGTGTTAGTGTTAGTGTGTGTGTTAGTGTGTGTAAGTGTGTTATGTTTGTGTGTGTTAGTGTGTGTTAGTGTTAGTGTGTGTGTGTGTTAGTGTGTATGTGTATGTATGTGTGTTAGTGTGTGTGTGTGTGTGTGTGTGTGTGTAAGTTTGAGGCCTCAGGGTGAATTGCAAGGAAAACTCACCATTCTTCCCAAACCTTATAATTTTTAGTATTTGGCTTTAAGCCTTTCCTTTCCAAACCACATAAATACTGAGGAAAATGTCTCCTTCTTCCCCCACAGTCTATAGCACCAGGAACTGACTCTTGAACCCACCGGTCTCCAGTCACGGGTCTTTCAGACCACTTGTAAGTGTATGCCAGTATGGATAAAATGTTTTAGGTTGGTGTGCTTAAGGGTTAGAAAGGTAGCCATGAGAGGCAGTCTGGATTTATTTGAGGGATCAGTAGGTAGCCTCTGGAAGACTGCAAGTGAAGAAACCATTTTTTAATGCTAGAGCCCATGAGACGGCTTCGTGGATAAAAGTGGTGCTTTCCCATAAAATCCTGGCGACCTAAATTTAATCACTGGAACTCACATCAGATTGAGAAGTCTGAGTACTTAAAGTTGTCCTCCGACCTCCACAGTAAGCTCTGGGAAGTGCACGTATGCACACTCCCCAACACTGGGCTTGATGGCTGTCATATTATTATTTTCTTTTCTGATATTGCCTAAACAATTTAACACCACAACTGTTTGCCTATCATATGCGTTGCATACTTGGTAAGTAACCCAGAGGTAAGTGAGGATATTCAGGGTAACACGGACAGGTTACATGCAGATACTACATGAGAGGGACTCAGCCATCCACAGACAATGGTATCAGCCTGGGATGTAGGTGTGTAGAGAAGCGGATGACTCTGAGCTCCATTTTGGAGGTGGAGGCTATAGGACCGAGGCATATTTAGGATTTAAAGGAAGGACAAAGAGGTAACAAGAATGTTTCTGACCTGTACAGATGGATGTGTGCTGACATCGTCTACCGAGCTGGAAGAAATCTGATGTAGTCTGAGAAAGAAAACCAAGAGTGGAGTTTGTACGTGTTGAGTGTGAGATGTCTGTAAGAGATCCAAGAAGAGGTGTCAAGTAGGCAGCAGGATGTCTGACAGGGGCTCATCAGACCAGCCATATATAGCAGCCGTGTACATTTAGATGGTATTTTAAACCCTGGGCAGAACTGAGAGGGACATAGACTAGAGATATGTTCTACCCAGGATATGTAGAACAAAGGGTAGAAACTAGGGTCCTGAAATAAGGCTCGGTGAGTAAAAGGAGCTTGTCGTGCAATCCTGATGACCTGGGTTGGCTCCCTGGAGCTCACATAAAGACGGAAGCAAAGAACCGACTTTATAGGTTTTCTCCTGACCTCCGCACATGCATTCTGGCACATGTATGTCCATATCCATCATACACGTGCACACACAGAGAGTTTAAAAATCAGAGATTAGCAGCAGAGGGAGAAATTAACCTAAAAGACCAAAGAACGGTCAGAAAGAGCCCAGGGGGTCTCAAAAGGCTGACATGACGGATCCCAAGGTTGGTGAGTATTTGAAGCAGAGTGAAGTGGGTAATTGTACTGAGTGCAAGCGGGTCTCAGGCACGGAATTTAACCTTTTTGAGAAGCTGTGCAGTGTACAGATGAATGATGAGCTGCCCAAAGCATCAAGTAAAAGAACAACTCTAAGTCACATAGGGGGGCCTGTGTGTGCACAGATTCCTCAGTAGATTTTAAAACCTTGTGTGATCTCAATGACATCTGGCACTGCCGTAGTGTAGCTGTGCAGGAGGTTAGCCAGCAGAGAAGTTTTTCTATACTAGCAATGGGGACGGACAGATGGCTCAGTGCTTAAGAGTGCTTCTAGGTCTTACAGAGTGCATTCTGTTCCCAGCACCCATCAGGTTAACTCAAAACCACCTGTAACTCCAGCTCCAGGGAATCTGATGCCCTCTTGTGGCCTCTGCAGGCACTGCACTCACATGATTTTACCAACAGCCAGGGACCAGCATGTGTATAGCTCAAAATAAAATAAACCATTACAAATGACAACCAAACTAGCTTTCCTTTTGACAGTATAAATTATTTAAAAAGTACGAAGAAAGATATCTTCTTATGCTAAGCCACTACTCTACTAATGTCACCAAAAGGGCGCCATTAGTCACTACGGGATCTGCTTGGCTTGCTCTCTGTTTCCTGACACTGTTTGGTTTCTGTGTGAAATGTAGGAGGGTTTTGTTGTTGTTTTTCAATTAATTTTAACTGCAGCCCAAGGAGGGATCAAATCAGCACAGTTATTAGCATCTTAAAAACACTGATTCACTTACTGGAAAAGCTTTCTTCTAGCCGTCTCTTGTGGGAATAGTTTCCCAGAGCTTACTGGTGTTTTTGAATGCCAAAGTGCCATTTAAGAAGGAAAATCATCTAGCGTGTAGGCTTTCCTAAAAGGCAAGAGAAATTAAAAAGCTACTAAGAACAGTAATGCATTAATGAAAAGAAAATGAGCAGATTGCATTTATTAAAAATTATGTAAACACGCTCATCTCCAACCCACGGTTAATACACTTAGATCTTTTTGCTAAATGATATCAGCAGGTGGAAACGAGAGACGGAAACATTCTCAGCTACTGAAACCTAACCAGACGAGACCTGGGGCTTCTTTTGAAGATACCGATCCACCCAAAGTTGTTTTGGGAAGGCTTTGACCACGAACAATTGCTTGGGGGTATGAAAATTAAACCAGAGCATGGCAAATAATAGGACCTGAATTTCTAAACATCAGGCAAGAAGACAGGGGAAGTGGAGACAGGCAAGTCCCTTGAGCTCACGGACCAGTAAACATCATATAAACCGAGGGCTCCATGCCAGGATAGTGCCTGAGCAATGACTCCTGAGATTGACCTTTGACCTACACCCTCATGTGCACACACTTGCACACGTACCCTCATACACATGTGCAAACACACATGCATACCCACAAGCACTAAAGAAAACTCAATCTGTGAGTGCTTGAATATTAAATTAACTTTCCATGTTTTCCTGACGAATCCAAGAAACACTGACAGAGAAGTGCTCCCCTGTTGTAAGCCAAATTAAACATGGAGGGGTTTTTTTTAATCCAATTATCCAAGAACATTCACCTCAAGTGTTTTATGGAGCAATTAAGACCATTTTATAACCAAAAGCGACACACTTGTGCTAAGGTCTCAATAACGAGGCACAGGTCTGTACTCCTAGCATTTGGGAGGTAGAGACAGAAGGATCTGGAGTGTAAAGCCAACCTAGGCTACGTAGCAAGACCTTGTCTCAAAACCACACAAGCACCAAAGCAACTACAAAACCACAAAGAGCACCTTGATTTGTCAGAATTTATGACAGGAATATCAAATTGTTGTAACGTGAAGGAAGAAGACGGACACTCACGATGGATGGAGTGTATCGGGAGCTGATGCACGTGCTGTAATACCAGGCTTGAACTTACTGAGCCCAACCTGACCAGTTCACTTGTTAAGACTCCTCCCATTCCCGTTCCTACTTCCACTCTTCCTCCTTCTTCTCAAAGTCGCCCAACAGTTCTTTAAAGCAGTAACAGGAATACAGAAAATTTACATTTCAAAAATCCCAAGTAGCAGAGGGGATGAATGTTGTAAGAACGAATTTTTCAGGGGCATGGGATGCAATGCTCCATGGAGTGCCAAGGATGGACCACTAGGCAATCCCAAAGTCACTCAATTGTCTATAGGATTAAAAAGAAAATGGTAGGCTAACTCGTGTGTGTGTGTGTGTGTGTGTGTGTGTGTGTGTGTGTGTGGTGGGGGTGGATAGATGTAACCACCATTTGGTAAGGCTTAGCAATGAGTCAGTTATCCAGAGTTCCCTCTGTCAGTGATGACAGCCATTTAAACCAAGGATCAGATGGCTGGGGCAGAGCCAGACTGTCAAGTCCCTGTATCACTAAGAATAGGAATAGCATAATTATCTCTTACATGGGGAACAGAAAGCGCTACCTCCTAAATACTCTCTGAGAAGGTGTCTTAACAGTAAGAAGCCACTGCTGACCCAGCACTCATGAATATCAGCTCCAGGATCTGCTCTCTCCAGCACTGTATCTGCAAGTACATCTTTCCCAACTGCTGGCACAAACTCAAAGGCTGGTTCTTCCTTATGGAGCCCTTCTATACGGGTCGATGACATCATGTCCAAATTAATTTCAGAAAAGGGAGGTCTGTATAGTCTAGACTGTAGACATAGCTCTCGAGAGCTCTCTTAATTGGGGTCTGGGTTTAGTATAAAATTGTGGCAGGTGAGTTACTTGTGGTAGGACCTGTGTGGAGTGTGATTCAAAAGATTGATGCTTTTAGGATGATGGGAATCCTGGATGTCGTGTGAAAAGGTAGCACGCTGAATGCAAGCTCTTGTGGGTCTTAATCACCTTCTGTTTGAGAGTTGCTGCTTTACCCTGTCCTGACCAATGGGCTATAGATGTTCAGAAAGCTTGGTGGGAAAGTTTCTGAGTAGTGGAGTAGTGTAATGTTCATGCATAATCCCAATTCTCAAGAGGCTAGGCAGGAGGATTGCGATTTCAAGGGATACATAGTGAGATCCTGTCTTAAGGGGAAAAAAAATGTCTTTATTCTTTTATTACAAAATAAAAACCTACCGGCTCCTAGAGGCATCGCAGGTGTGACTGCTGTGTCACACGTAGGCCAGTAGGTGGCAGAGATGAGAGAGGCTCTGTCTATGCTCAGTGTTCTGACCTGTGAACACCTGAATAGTAGCCTAACAATCCCTGAAACCAAGCAAGCCTGAGATGACCTCAAGTCCAGTGCCAGAGGACCCAGACAGAGAGCTAGCCTGAGACAACCACCACTCCAGTGCCAGACAGACCTGGATAGGCTCCCAGGAAGGGGAGCAAGCCAGAGACTAGAAGAACCCTGTCTGGGACCACCGGCCCTGGGTGGGAGTGAGCCCAGGACAGATCACCATGGGGCTGGGATAGGGGGTTAGTCTGAGATGACCACCAGTCTGGCCAGGTCTGAGGGACAGGCAGACCATGCCTTAGATGACCCTTGACCTGCACCATAATGCACAAGTGGGGCATAGCACTCCTGAGACCATTCCTGAGAGGACCCCAGACCTTCAGAGACCCTGGACACCATTAAGAGGAACAAATAAGTGTGGAGAAACAGAAGGGAAAGAAACAGAAGGAAGCGGGCACAATGAAGAGAGGCAAACCTGGAGAATTGAGGGTAGTGAGGAACAGTCTGACGTGAGAAGCTGGTGATGCCACTGGGGCCATGGTGGGATCCTGGCCTGTGCTGCTACCCAGGGCCGTGTCTGGGTCTGTGGCCCTGCAGGAGCAGGGATCTGTCACCACCAAAGGCCAGGTGGATGTCCCTTGTCTGGGCTGCCACTGGGGACATGTCGATGTCTGAGGACTGTTCAGAACTAGCCCCACCCCTCATCTGGGCATTGTGGGAGAGCTGGTCCTGGAGGTATGTGATCTGGAAAGCTGGCCCTGCCACTTGTCTGCCTTACGGGGACATGGGTGAGAAAGATGCGTCCCTTCCACCCCTTGCAGCCTATAGCAGGCAGGAGAGTTGGCCCCGAGACCATCAGAGTGGGAAAAGATGGTCTTGTCTCTCACCAGCTGCAGCCCGTGGGAGAGCAGGCCCTGCACCTCACCGGGGCAGCACAGTAGCGCTGACGCTGGATGTGGGGGTTGCAGGTGAGTCAGTTCCAAGGGCGCAAGTTGGGAGATCCAGCCCTGCCTCTTGTCTGCTGTGTGGTGGCATTGGTGAGGGAGAGATTCCCTCCCTTCTCTTTGCCCTCTCCACAGGTGGTGGGTGGGAGAGTTAGCCCAGTGAAGTCATGAGAGCAGGAGAGCTGGCCTTGCCCCTCACCTACTGCAGCAGGTCGCAGGTGAGCCTCCCCAAGGGTGGACGAGTGGGAGAGCCAGTGGGCTGACCAGTGTAGGAATCTTTCAAGCTCAGATCCGGGCCTTTGAATTGGCTCATGCCAACATCTACCCCATTAACAAACTGCTGGAGTGCATGAAGGGGCCAGTCCTACAAATCCAAAGCTACAGGATCTCCACGACACAGCTCAACAACAGGGCATTCGAGACAAGTCCCAGTGAGGTTCTTGTGTTGATAGAATAGCAGAAGCTAGAGGCCTCGTACCAGACCAACAAGTCATATTTTCAAGTAAAGAAGTGTGAACAGAAGGGTATACTGTGGGACACACAGTGACACACTACAGTTTCCACAACGAGAATTTTGTTTTCCTCTGATGACGGACAGGTTGCAAGAATGGAGGGTGGGTATTGGGGGGGACTGGGGTACATGATATGAAATTCACAATGATTCAATAAAAAGAAAAAGAAAAATCTTACTAGGCATGGTAGCACATGCTTGTTATCAAAGCACTTGGAAGGTTGAGGCAGGGGGATTGCCCTGAGTTCAAGGCCAGTCTGTGCTAAAGAGAGAGACTTAAATAAAACTTTTTACTGTGTGTGAATTTTACAACATACACCCCAATCCTACTCACTTTGTGGTTCTCCCCCATACCTGCCCTTTGTCCTTGCAACTTCCCCCAAAAGAAAACAAAAATTAAAATAAACTAGATATAAGCCATCTCTCCACGGAAGTTGCAGTGCATGGAAGTTGCCCAACAGCTTTACTTGCAAACGTTCACTGCAGTGAGTCACTGGTTCACATTCCAGCAGATCATAAGTGGGGAAGATGTTGGGGTGGGCCAACTGAACGCCCTGGATCTGGGCCTGAGTAGTAGCTGGGTTGGCCAGCCCAGAGTATGCCATCTAGGCCAGCTCTCCTGCCCCAGTGTGGGGAGGAGCCAGCTCACCCTACTGCTATAGCTGACAAGGGGCGGGGCCAGTTCTCCTGCCCTCACACCCTCAGGACCAGTTCTCTAGCTTCCTGTTATCAGAGACAGCTCTATATTGCCCAGGCACTGGATTGCTGGCAGTCTGCCAGGGGTGTGTGCAAAGAGCGGTGTGTGTGTGTGCCCAGCTTTCTTCCTCTCATGCCCTCAGTTCTCTCTCCCACATGTGCCCTCCCCTCGATCACAAGAGAGAGATGTTTGTGTCAACTTATCCCATCAAAGTAAATATCAGCGTAAGTTTACAGATATGTTCTGCAGCATACAAAAGTTATTAAAGGTTACATTTCAAATAATTATTGTATTATAACAGCATAGAAGGGAAAGTGGTTTATACACTGTTTTTGAAAACTTTGAAATATCCAGGAATTCTACAAGCATTCCATAAATACTATAAAAATTGTTTTCTGATGTTAATGCTATTTTAGCTTAGGAATGTGGTTTCTAATTTAATAAGCTGTTTTGTCATGTTTACAAGTAATCAAGGAAAATGTCCAATTATTTACAGAATTATAACTAATTTTTAGTTTTGCTGTGAAACATTTCACATTTAAAAAAGAACACATACACAATCTAAAGAATTAAAATAGATAGGATATTCATGGTCCTATCAGAGTTTGGATATCACATGTCTCTCCAAAGGGTTACTGTGCTGAAAACTTAGTCCCAGCTGGTAGATTGAAGGCTGGTTCAGCCAATCACTGACGGGGGCTCTGACAACCAATAGACAAGCTACCTGATGACATGGCGGAGCAGAAAGGCAGAGTGGTTTAATGGAGTCATGCTCTGGTAGGATAAACCTTGTACCACACCCTTGCCTCTGTGTGAGTGTGTGCTTCTTGACTACCCTCACACAAGCAACATTACTCCCGCTTGCCTTTCTCACCACAATCCGAAACTTTTAAAACCTTGAGCCAAAAGGGAAAAAACCCAAATCTTTCCCTCTCTTAAATTGTTTCTCTTGGGTACCATCACAGTGGTGACTCACATGTACCCACTACGGAGCTATGAGACAGGGCAGCTCCCAGCTCCTTGAAAGCCTAGTCGGGATCAGGTTTAAGCACTCAGAGTTCCTCATGGACACTTTGTCTCGTTGGCCATTCACTTGGCTTTCTTTGTGACTTGAATAGCTCTGTGCGTTCCTGAGCAATACATTGTTTTCCTTGCTAACACTGTGTGAAAGAGAGCACACTACATGCATGTGCAGGCAGACTTGAACTTTTCACTCATCTTTATCACTCTGAGAAGTATCCAGGGCGATGTGTGTAGCTCTGGTTCCTCCGTTTTCATCATGACTCAGAAGCTCGTTGCAGAAGTAAGTCTCAGTTTGCTACTAGTTTGCTACTTTGTTGCATATGAGGACTTCCGGCCCCCCCCCCCATGCTACCATGGACCTTTTTCTTCATATCTTCTGGTGTGCAAACTTTAATATTTCTGTGTCACAAGGAGCCACTGACTGTTTCTTCATAGCTCAATGAACGGGATGCTGCTCCTGGGTTGCCTTGCCTGCGTCTAGTTTTACAAAGTCATTTCCCCCCAAGTCTGTTGAGCCTGAAATGACATTTCAAAGTTTTAATATAAAGGGGACTGAAGAGAAATAATTCAGCAGTTAAGAGCATGTATTTTTCTTACAGAGGACCTGATTTCGGTGTCCAACAAGCCTATCAGGTGGTTTGCAAACTGTTTAATGCCCGCTCCAGGGGATCTGGCGCCCTCTTCTGGCCTTCACCGACACCTGCATTCAGACGGATACAATTTTAAAGAAGGAAAGGTCTAAAATTTCATTCCTGCCGAGGCGAACTATCAGTACGTGGGTTCCTGTACTGTCATCTGTTTGAGTCTGCTGTACATCTGTCTGATGAGTCATTTGTCCCTCTCTTATTGAGTCATATAACTCATTTATAGTCTGGAGTCTATTATCTATACTTACAGGTGCTGAAAATGAATTTCCCCATCTTGAGATCTATTTTCGTTCTCTTCCTATTTTTTTTTAACAGAACACAAACTCTTAATTTTAATATAGGTGATTTAATCCATCAATAATCAGTCATGTTCCATTGGATATGTTTTTTAAAAAAAAATCATTTCCTACCCAAATTTTAGAAAGTAAAGCTATTCTCCTAAACCACTAGTATTGTGCTTTGTGTGAATTGAAATAAAATTCAATTTTTCTTAGCCCTTGCTAACGAGAATCCTAAGCTTGGTTATGTGATAGCCTATCTTTCCTTCATTGATTTCCAGTGCCCCTTTCGTGTGGATTCTTTGAACTCTGTTTTATCTATTGGTCTACTTACTCATGCCTTGAAACCAGGGACTCAATTGCTATAACACACCTCAATACACTGAAGAGCACATATTGCTAGTTTATTCCCTTTGTTAAGGTGCCTTAGATAGTCTCGGGTCTCTGCTCTTGCATACAGGTTTTAAAATCAGCTCCAGTTCTCCCAAATCAAAACAAGCAACCAAGAGCTGTTAGAAATTTTCATAAGACCTGAGTTATATCCAAAGATCCATTTTCAAATGGACACTTTTATAAAGCTAAATTCTACGGCGAACGTAGCATCTGTATCCATGTGGGGTTTCAATTTCTTTCCAAATATGTTTCCTTTTGCTTGTGAGGGTTCAGAAATGTTTATTTTCAAAATCCTAGTGCTTAAAGTGTGTTGTTAATAGAAATGACATTTTTTTCTTAATATATTTTCTAGTCGTGGCTGATGTTGGAAGCACGGGTGCTTTCGAATGTCAAATGTTTCTCTCAGTTTTGATAATCTCCGCAGTTTTGTCTCCGTCCAGTCTGTCTCTGAGTTTGTCACCGTCTCTGCCTGTATCTCGGCGCCACGTGCACACAGGCAAACACGTGCACACAGGCAAGCTCTCTGCAACTTGA